GTTCTTTTTAACTTCATGTGCACTGAAATGAAATCTAAGATAATGGTATCAACCTTCCCAACTATCGTCTGTGAACTACAATACACCTCCTGTTATTTTTTAAATTCAGCTTTAGGCATTGACATATCTCCTTATAACCAATCTGTCCAGACAGTATGGTTGCCTGCTGACCTGACACTATAATAATAATATGAAACAGAATTTGAATCCAATGCAATTTTTCTTCAGCTAATTGCAGTACAGAGGATGCTTTTTCAGTCTATTGAAGTGTAAGAAGACAATTACTTTCCTAAGCTCTATCTTTGTGAATAACTAACACTGACTGAGTAATGTGGCAGAAGTGGGGAGGGTCTATCAAGAACTAAATTAACTAGCACTAAACATCATCACATTAGTAAACAAGTTGCGAGAGCCCAAAACCATCACTAGATGTAAGCACATTACAAAACAACAACAACCTAATGCAGTTCAATGCAACGCAGAGAAATTACATGACAGTGGGGTAGAGCACCTCCTATGTAATGGGGATGATTAGGTGTTTTTAGCCAATTTAGGAGAGCAGCATTGGGTGACAACACTGTTCCTGTCTAGACACAGTGCATTGAGTGAGGGTTGTCACTCTAGAACAGGAAGTGTGTGGGTGGGTGCAGCAGGATGCGGCAGCAGTAAAGACACAGAGTCCAGTTGCAGATAACTTCATAACTTGTATTTCAAAAAATGTAGAAACTACAAATAACCCCAACAGGAGAGCGCTGCCAAGAGTAACATTCAAAGTTCAGTTCTTGGCAGAGAGGTAGCGGGTAAAGATGCACCAACAGCATCAGTCTTCAGAGGTCCAAAAAGGGAGGCTACAATACAGGTTTTTAAGTCCCTAGCCTGCCCCTACTTGTCAGGAACATTTCCCTGCCACTATCACCGACAGGTGGGTGCTCTTTCTCTATTCTAACCACTTCACAAAGCCTGGGAGCAGGGAAGGATACAGTGAAGGAAATAAGTATTTGATCCCCTGCTGATTTTGAATGTTTGCCCACAAAGAAATTATCAGTCTAAAAATCCAATGGTAGGTGTATTGTAACACTGAGAGACAGAATAGCAACAAAAATTTCAAAAGAAATGCATGTCTAACAAATTATGCACTGATTTGCATGTGCATGAGGGAAATAAGTATTTGATCCCCTTCACAAAACATGACTTAATACTTGGTGGCAAATCCCTTGTTGGCAATCACAGAGGTCAGATGTTTCCTGTAGTTGGCCACCAGGTTTGTACACATCTCAAGAGGGATTTTGGCCCACTCCTCTTGGCAGATCCTCTCCAAGTCTTTAAGGTTTGGTGGCTGACGTTTGGCAACTCAAACTTTCAGCTCCCTCCACAGATTTTCAATCGGATTAAGGTCTGGAGACTGGCTAGGCCACTCCAGGACCTTAATGTGCTTCTTCTTGAGCCACTCCTTTGTTGCCTTGGCCGTGTGTTTTGGGTCATTGTCATACTGGAACACCCATCCATGACTCATTTTAAATGCCCTGGCTGAGGGAAGAAGGTTCTCACCCAAGATTTGACGGTCCATCGTCCCTTTGATGCCGTGCAGTTGTCCTGTCCTGTTAGCAGAAAAACACCCCCAAAGCAGAATGTTTCCACCAGCATGTTTGACAGTTGGGATGGTGTTCTTGGGGTCATAGGCAGCATTCTTCCTCCAAACACGGCGAGTTGCGTTGATGCCCAAGAGCTCGATTGCGGTCTCATCTGACCACAACACTTTCAACCAGTCCTCCTCTGCATCATTCAGATGTTCAGTGGCAAACTACAGACGGGCCAGGACATGTGCTTTCTTGAGCAGAGGGACCTTGTGGGCACTGCAGGATTTCAATCCTTGTCAGCGTAGTGTGCTACCAATTGTTTTCTTGGTGACTGTGGTCCCAGTTGCCTGGAGATCATTAACAAAATCCTCATGTGTAGTTCTGGGATCATTCCTCACTGTTCCCATGATCATTTACACTCCACGAGGTGAGATCTTGCATGTTGCACCAGACCTAGGGAGACTGACAGTTTTTTTTGTGTTTCTTCCATTTACGAATGATTGCACCAACTGTTGTCACCATCTCACCAAGCTGCTTGGCGATAGTTTGGTAGCCCAGTCCAGCCTTGTGTAGGTCTACAATCTTGTCCCTGACATCCTTGGACAGCTCTTTGGTCTTTGCCATGGTGGAGAGTTTGGAATCTGATTGTTTGATTGCTCCTGGGAAAAGGTGTCTTTTATACAGGTAACAAAATGAGATTAGCAGCACTCCCTTTAAGAGACTGCTTCTAATCTCAGCTTGTTACCTGTATGAAAGACACTTGGTAGCCAGAAATCCTGCTGAATGATAGGGGATCAAATACTTATTTCCCTCATGAACATGCAAATCAGTGCATAATTTGTTAGACATGCATTTCTTTAGAATTTTTTGTTTTTTATTCTGTCTCTCAGTATTACATCTACCATTCGATTTTTAGACTGATCCTTTCTTTGTGAGTGGGCAAACATTCAAAATCAGCAGGAGATCAAATACTTATTTCCTTCACTGTAAAGACTCTGCTGACCATGCATGTATTATGTTTACGATAGTCCTAACAGAACCTTCTTTCCCATCAGGATGACAGGCCAGGCCGGTCCAGTCCCAAAAGGGAAACTACAGTACAGATTTGTGAATCCTTAGTCTGTCCCTGATCGAAAGGAACCTTTCCCTGCCGCTATCACTTTCCCAGACAGGTGGGTGCTCTTTCCGAAATGCATGGGAAAACCTAGGGGCAGGGACTTATAAAGATTCTGCTAACCCAGAGATGCCCGCCAAGTAGAACACTGCCTCCAGGGACCAGGAAACCACAGAGAAACATTTCAGTGTTCTGTCCCCCAATGAGACATCATATATGTAGAATTCAGAGGAATGAAGAGAATTAATAAAACGCACTCCCTTCTCCCACATTCCTCTTGCTGCTACTTAAAGTGTTACTAAACCCAGGACCCTGCATTCACTATATCTGGTCTCCCACAGTACACAGGACATGGAAGTTCAATTATTTTAGTAAATATAAACTACTAAATTCCTTTTCTCATCGGCAGTTAGAGCAGTCTTGAGACTTCTATCAGTGTCCATCACAGCACTGGTTAAAGCTTGTAGGAGGAGTTTTCATTTTCCTCTAAGAGGATGCAGAACCCCTGACCTCTGTCTGGACAGTGCTGATTGGCTCGGTGATGATCACTTGCACTCTCCCAAGGAAAAAATAAAACCTCTCTAGTAATACACACCAAACTAAGCATGTACAGAGTGACACCACATGAAATGTCTTATGAGGAGATAAGAGGGGGATACTGAAAGAAGGGGAGGATTGGAGAAGTCAGGATCAAACAGCCTTTTTACACAATGTAGAGGATTACCCCTTAGGTTCCACAGTGAGTATAACAAGCATGCTTTACTGCATATACAGGCTGATTTTACTGTTGTGGGTTTAGTAACACTTTAAGTCGAGCAAGTGCTTGGAGCTGTGACAACCCCTGGTTAGCAGCCATCTCCTCGCTAGCTATGTTGTTGGATTGCTGCATCAGCTTGTAGCTAGGCTCACAAAAACCTTTCCTGAAAGAAACGTAGAAGTTTCCATTAGGATCTCCTTCAGAAAATGCTAATTGTCTGGTTATTAGGCCCACCCAATGGCTTTATTACTATATGAGTAACTGATCTAGAACATGCAGACAGCAAGTGATAATTACCCCCTTTCAAGGTCCTTCACCAATGCCTGCATCTTCTCCTTCTGGTTGCCAGGCTGTGGCCTTTCTTATTGGTCAGCACAGGATGAAGTCACTACTGCAAATGCACAGGAGTGCAGTCATCCCAGCACACAGGTGGTATGCCAGAATGTAAACTGAGCTGTGCTTGTGCAGCTCAGTGTACATTTTAAAGAAGACTGTGGCAGGCAGGTAGGTTTCTTTTCTTGCAGAAGAGACATTGCATGTCTCTTGTACAAAAATGAACCTGCCTGTTCACAGTTTTTAAAAGCAGAACTTTAGTTTTGCTTTAAGCAGTGATTGTATCCTTTTACGTTGTATGCCAGCATTACAGCAATACTAGGCTAGATGTTAGAAAAGCTAGATCACCCTGATACAGATGTAACCTCTGCTTATTTAATCATCATTTGCTTGCAGTGAAATGCAGTGAAATGTTCAAATGTGTGACAGGTCCACTTTAAAATATCTTGCTATCCAAATATCTTTGTTACTAGAAACAAAGAAGATTGTCTTTTGGTGATGGTGGTGGCCTGAAGCTGTGCCAGGACAATCTAAGATTTAACATGTTCACATTTTCAAAAGTCATCTTCAATATTTTCTTGTAATCTGAGGCTTTTATTAAAATAATACCTAATAATCCTGCTATTAAGGTCCTTGTTCAGGTCAAAAGTATTTAAAACTTTTTTTTTTGTTTTGAATAAAGTGGAGAGGGATTAGAACACCTATTAGGTTTTTATTGCTGTCTGTGCCCCAGTTAAGGAGATTGACCCTCTCTATTTGTCCTGTTAGCATTGAAAGTGAAAGAAAATAAACATTTTGGCTTGTCCCCATAAAAATAATTGAGGGGAAAGTTTCCAATGAGGGCACTAGTTCTGGTGACCTGGGGAGCCCCAAGAAATTACTTAAATTTGCAGGGATTTTCTCTCACTTCCTGTTTTGGCTATGGGAAAGGAAGTAAAGGGAAATCTCCCCAAAGAGACACAGAAGGTAAAATATAAACTGTCCTCCCTTACTCTATAAAATAAAATGAAAAAAAAACGTTTTTCCTATAGTTATGCTTTAACCGCCTCCCACCCGCCATATAGTACAATGACGGACGCAAGGTGATTCTCTCGTTCTGGGTGGACGTCATATGACATCCTCCCATTCTAACCGTGCATGCGCGGCTCCAGAAGTGTACAGCGTGGCGATCGGTGGTGCGCTGCGTCCCTTGGACACAGCGGATCACCGATTGATGGAAAGAGCCGAAGATGTCAGCTCAGTCATGTGATCAGCTGTGTCCAATCACAGCTGATCCCATGTAAATAGGGAAATGCTGGTTATCGGCATTTCTCTCCTCACGGGCTGCCACGCTGACAGCTCGAGAGGAGAGGAGTGCCGGTAATCAGCATTCCTTGGAGAGGACATGTACACTGATCATCAGGGCACTGATGATCAGTGTGCCCTGAAGATCTGTGTAGCCCCAGCAGTGCCACCTGTCAGTGTCCATCAATGCCAGCTCTCAGTGCTCATCCATGCCACCTGCCAGTGCCCATCAGTGCCACAACAGTGCCACATTTCAGTGCCTACCAGTGCACATCAATGCCACATATCCGTGCCCATTTGAGCTGCCTTTCAGTGTCACCCATCAATGCCAGTCAGTGCCACCTATCAATGCCAGTCAGTGCCACCTATCAGTGCTGCCAATCAGTGCCACCTATCAGTGCCAGTCAGTGCCGCCTATCCGTGTGCCTCAGTGCCGCCTATCAGTGCCCGTCAGTGCTGCCTATCAGTGCCACCTAACAGTGCCAGTCAGTGCCACCTAACAGTGCCAGTCAGTGCCGCCTATCAGTGCCATATATGAGTGCTGCCTTTCAGTGCCCATCAGTGATGCCTGTCAATGCCCATCAGTGCCACCTACCAGTGCCTCCTCATCAGTGCCCATCAGTGCCAACTATCAGTGTCCATCAGTGCAGCCTATCAGTACCCATCACTGCACCGTGGCCATCTTGTTGGTTGGAAACATTATTCATATCTGCTGATTCTCACTCTGGTAGTTAGGTATTTGCCATCTTAGATGGCATTGTTCCGTGAGAAGCTCCTAATTCATCCTGGTATCTGGGGAGATCCTTCTGGGAATCCTGGACTCATCTGTTGGGCTTGATATCTGCTTTGTTTGACCAGTCCTTCTGGTGGTCAAAGGTTCTGGTAAGATGAAGGATTCTCTCTTTCTGGTTTTGGTTTCACTCTGCACCATTATTACTGGATTAGAAGAGTTTTTGCAGAGTCTTTATTACATGTACTATGCTGTTTCACCAATATTTTTCCTCTGTGGTGATTTGGACATTATTATTATTCTTTATTTGATGATCATAAGCACTACACTAAGTGTTTTTATTTGTTTATTTTTGCCTATTTATTTTGTTAGCTGCTAATTTTATCTGCAAATTCCCAAGCACAGGTTTTCCATTTTATTAGGTTTGCAGGAGTCCTGCATGGCACCAGCGAACATGTTTTTACCTGCAAAAAAATGGGCATTTATTGTTTTTTTTTTTAAAGTTAACTTATCCTTTAAGGCTAAGTGAACACTATAGGATAGATATTTGTCTGGGATGCCTTTATTGCTTCTGGTGCATTTCCTGATTGAAGCTGATTTTACTGTATTTGGATCGTTTGTATTAATTTCTATTTCTGTGTCACTTTGTTGCTTGTCTTCATGTGACACTGATGTGTAATTTCCCTCAGTTTGAGGCGTTTGTGTTAGCTCATGAAATTTTGAACACACTGAATCTTCATCAACAATTACACTTCTACTAATGGTTACCTTGTTTGCGTCTTGGTGCAAAATTTTGTATTCCTTTTGAGATTCACTGTACCCAACAAGTACATCTTCCTTCACTCAAGCATCCCATGTACATTTTTCTTTTGGGATGTGCACATAGGCTTTGCTTCCAAAAATGCCTAGATGGTTCAAATTTAGGGCCTTTCCATTCTACAGTTCATATGGAGTTTTCTCAGTTGGTTTTCCTGGTAGTCGATTTTGGAGTTAGCATTCAGTCATAATTGCCTCTCCCAAGTATGTGGTTGGCATATCTACTGTACATCAAACAGCATGGTTCTTCCACTCTCACATAGAATACGGTTCATTCTTTCTGCAACCCCGTTTTGTTCTGGGTTGTATGGTACAGTAGAAATATTATGCCATGCTTTTTGAAAATTGCCTGTGTGTTATGACCTGTGTATTGAGTTCTGCTGTCTGTGCACAATACACTCTGCATTTTGTCTAATGTGTTGCTTACTTGAGCCAATTACTGTTCAAGTTTCTCTGGTACTTCCATGCTCTTACTGGCCAAAGGGCACAGGGGTCGCCAGGCTTAAGAAGAGCAGCCTGTTGATGACTGGACCGCACAGCGAGAGGTAAGCAGCGACTGCAGTCACCGCAGGGCTAACACAGACCCACGGTCACCGCTTTCCTCCCATTATGGTGCAGCAGTGACGGCTCCAGTGTCAAGCAGGAAGCATCTGCAGAGGACACACACCTCCCAGGCTGGCTACTGTAGATACAGCAGCCTCTCTCTTTCACCGGCACACTCTGACAGCTGCACAAGAGAGGAGAGGGCATCACTCTCTGGGAGGAAGGTGAGCACACTGAACCCTACATTGATCCAGTATTACAGCCAAACAGTCCCACTTTGTAGCGGTGGTGCAGGGGTATATTGGACTGTCTCTTTGCTAGACTTGGCTCTCTAATTGCTGGATTGGGATGTCTCTTTGCTGGATAGGAATGTTTCTTTACTGGATTTTGATGTCTCTTTGCTGGATTGGGCTGTCTCTTTGCAGGATGGGGATGTCTCTTTGCAGGATGGGGATGTCTGTTGGCTGGATTGAGCTGTCTCTTTGATTTACGGTGCTGTCTCTTTGCTGGATTGGGCTGTCTCTTTGCTATATGGGGTTGTCTCTTTCCTGGATTGTGCCATCTCTGCTGAATATATAGGGGGCATTGTTATTAGAGAGAGGGGGGCTTGACTGCAAGGGGCACTGTGATGGGGGGCTGTGATTGCTAGGGGCACTGTAATCTAAAGGGGCACTGTGATACAAAGGGGACTGAACTGTGAAGGAGCACTGTAATCAATACAGTGCCCCTTTACACTGCAGTCCCCTTTATATCACAGTGCCCCTGCACATTACAGTGCGGAGGACCAACCACCCCCATGATAGTCCTACCCACCCCTGTGCCTGAAAAAATTGTTTGCTCAGTTTATTTTTTGTCCCAGTCTGGGACTGGGTATTTCACTTTTGTTGTGTAGCAGATATAGTGTAGTATACCTGGAGTAATCAAGAGCAGGGGCATGCAGGACATTTTCACAGGTATCTTTCTGACGACACTGGGAAATAGGACAATAAAGAAATCAGTCCCCTACTTCTTCTGATTCCATTATTTGCATGTTAGCTGTGGTGATTTTTTTTCTGTTTTGCTGTGGTCAAGGTGAATTAAGAAATTTTTGTCATTTGTCATGTGACTCATAGCTCCTGAAATAACACACCATTCTTGCAAAGATGAAGTTTAACTTTTGGTTTGAAAAACATATGCATTATCTGAAGAAAAATCAATTTCTTTCACACTTTTAGCTGTTTGTAGTTTAGTTTGTTTTTGCATTCAAGCTTTCCAGATTCTGCAATTTGCTTTTAAATGGCCTTGTTTCTTGCACACAAAGCATTCACGTGCTTCTTGTTGCATTTTTTTTACTGTTTTTATTCATATTTTTCATCTCTAAAGCAGCCTCTGCAACAGAAGCACCATCAATATTAATGCTTTCTGTTTTACACCTTTACTTATCCACAAGCTCTCCCTTAACATATTCCAATGTCAATTCATCATCTGGACGTGAATCAAGTGCTGTGACAAGCATTTTGTAACTTTCTGGTAAACCACTAAGTAATAGAGCTGCTACCTAAAAATCTTTTATTTCTTCTCCTATACCTCTTAGGCGTTCACCCATTTCCAAAGTATGTTATCCTGCATATCCTGGCCTTTCATCAGCTAAGTTTCATATAGCTTTCTAATCAAATACAGTTTATTGCTAAGATTAGCTCTTTCAAGCACCTTTTGTAATAATTCCCACATTTCTTTTCAGTTTCATACTTACATATATGTATGATTTGATTATCATCATAAATTCTAAGAGAAATTGTGCTTTGAGCTGTCTGATCTTTCTCTATCCACTCGTCTGAAGGGTGTTCTGGTCTGACTTCATTGCACATTGAATTTCCAAGACTGGTAGTTCTGATTTGTCAGATTTGCAAATTAAAGTTTTGTCGCAGCTGTGTTGCTGTCCATTTTCTTTTATTCTTTTGCAGTCTTCTTTCTGTTGCTGTATTTTGAACTTCTTTTGCTGGAGCAGGATATGACTGGGTGTCTATATGGGTTTCTGGGCCCATAACTTGTTATAGACTCTGTATATAGCCCTGTAGAACAGACAGTGCACAGTCTACATATGCTTTTTCTGCTTCACTACAACAAGGAAACAGGAAACCTTTATTCAGAGAAAAGACAGAATATATCATAGATGCAGCTACAAACATATAAACACTGTCATCTACTGGTTGAAGAATATATCTGTATTGAATATTGATGTAGCTGTTGGACAAAGTACATGAACACTGTATTCCAGCAGGTTGCCTTAACATAACCTATGTTAACATGCAACATAATACAGTGCAGTGGGTATATCTGAATAGGCCCTTATTGATTGGTAAAGGGTTTGGTGGAATGTAGTAATGGGGATTCTGCCATTCCGGGGATGGCATTGCTTTAATAAGAAAGCTCAATACACAAGTATATTGTCCTTTCTGAATAAGGATGTTGATTAATTCTTTACTAAGGGAATGACATCATAGGGAATCCTGCACCAAAACCCACTTCACTCACTGCCAATCAATAAAACCATAATCCCTTTGGATTCTACTCAGTTAGGAAATGGAAGATGAAAGTAGATCTCTTGACAGGTTCCTAGAGAACTGGTGTAGCAAGGTGTTAGTTTTCCTATTGATATTCCCTCAGTGAGTTTTATGCGTTGTCAATCACTGTCAATAGCTGTACAACCTGTACTTATTTTCCTTTAGTTTAACATTATAGTGAGAGCCCAGCACAAGACAAACTGTGACCATGATTCATACAGTACACACACACACACACACACATATATATGTCATGTGTTGTGTGATAAATGGCTCTTGCTTATGCATGGGGACAGGGCAAAGAGAGGAGGATGTGGTGAGTAGCTAAGCCATGTGGACTATGTATGCTTTGTGATTACCTACCTTGGAAAGGTCTTTTTTCTCACTATGGGGTGGTGTCATCAGCATGTGGAGACCCATGCTTGGACTTGGAGAAGCAAGAGGTCTCCCTGTAAAGGATTAGGAAGGAGTGTCTTATATAACCAAATAAGGCACCCCTGTGGAGACTTGGGAGTTATCCACACTTCCTTCTAGGAAAGATTGGTAGTGTTAGCCCCTTGTGTACTTTGCCAGGACAGATAGGACTTAAGATCTACTGAAAGCCAGTGAGTCTCCCTGTGCTGTGGGCAATGAGTCTGTTACCTAAGTCGCTATGAACCTTTCTGGAAAATGTCAGCTAACTGCAGTTATGAGAAGAAAAAAAACATTGTAACAACTCTTTCTTACATTTGAGTAAACATTATGAAAAGGCAAAGTCAGAGTCTCCCCATTTTTCCTCTGGAGTGAGGGGTTTAGCAGTTGGCTTGGGTCAGGAATGGGTGGTGGTCTGGAGATAACAGTCCTTTTAAAG